CCACATACATGGGGTTTATCTCCGGTGTGAAATCTCTGATGAACTGTAAGGCATTGTTCTGGGTGAAAGCTTTTCCACACTCACCACATACATGGGATTTCTCTCAAGTATGAGTTCGCTAATGATCAGTGAGAGCAGACTTCTTGATAAATGCTTTTCCACATTCACCACATAAGTGAGGTTTCTCCCCAGTATGAGTTTGCTGATGAGCAGTGAGAGCACTCTTCATCATAAAGGCCTTTCCACATTCACCGTGTACATGGGGCTTCTCTCCAGTATGAATTCACTGATGATCTGTCAGGGCACTCGTTTGATAAAGGCTTTTCCACATTCAACACATACTTAGGCTTTCTCTCCAGTATGAGTTCGCTGATGATCCGCAAGGTCCTTCTTCCTGGTTAAGCTTTTTCACATTCACCACATACATGGGGTTTCTCTCCAGTATGAGTTCGCTAATGAACAGTGAGAGCAGTCTTCTTGATAAATGCTTTTCCACATTCACCACATACGTGAGGTTTCTCCCCAGTATGAGTTTGCTGATGACCAGTGAGAGCACTCTTCATCATAAAGGCCTTTCCACATTCACTGTGTACATGGGGTTTCTCTCCTCTATGAATTGGCTGATGATCAGTGAGGGCACTCTTCTTGATAAAGGCTTCCCCACATTCAACACATACACAGGCTTTCTCTCCAGTATGAGTTCGCTGATGATGAGTTAGGTTCTTCTTCTTGATAAAGGCTTTTCCTCCTTCACCACATACATGCGGTTTCTCTCCAGTATGAAATCGCATATGAACAGTGAGCTCATACTTCCAGAAAAAGGATTTCCAACGTTCACCACATACATTGGTTTTATCTCCGGTGTGAAAAATCTGATGAACTGTAGGCATTGTTCTGAGTGAATGCTTTACCACACTCACCACAGCCATGTGATTTTTCTCCAGTATAATTTCCCTTATGAACATTATGAGAAGTCTTCCAGATAAAGGCCTTTCCACATTCACCACTTACATGGACTTTCTCTCCAGTATGAGTTCGCTGATGATCAGTGAGGTTTTTGTTCTTGATAAAGGCTTTTCCACATTCACCACATACGTGAGGTTTCTCTCCAGGATGAGTTTGCTGATGCTCAGCGAGGTCCTTCTTCCGGATAAAAGCTTTCCCTCATTCACCATATACATGGGGTTTCTCTCCAGGATGAGTTCGCTGATGAACAGCAAGGGAAGTCTTCTGGATAATGGCCTTTCCACATTCCCCATGTACATGAGATTTTTCTCCAATATGATTAAGCTGATGATCAGTGAGAGCACTCTTTTTCATAAAGGCTTTTCCACATTCACCACATACATTGACTCTCTCTCCGGTATGAGTTTGCA